GACTATTTCTGTTTCACCGTTTCTATCTTCTATACAAAAAATGTAAAGTGGTATTCTTAAATTTGATAGAATCTACAAAAAGCATTTCTGGATAGGCATGAAACAGCCTTTTCATTTCTGCGTCTTGGTAAAAAAGGCCTTTTAATATATTGTTTTCGTCAGTAACTAACTGTATAGTGGCATCTTCTCTGCTCCACCGTGCTGTCCTGCCATAAGCTTCCCTGCCTCCCATGTTAGCCGAAAGTCCTTCACAACTAGATGGTCAAAGGACAGGGGCATTCTGAAGTTGTTACCAGCCACTCTCTCGATTTCTGTTACCTCCTCCTTGACCGAGACCAGCAAAGCCGGATAGGTTGCGTCAATTTTCTATTTTCTATTTACACTATATACATAAAAACTTCCATAGATTGAAGTATGAACTGTATTAAAAGTACTTTGGCGGTGGATGATTTTGCCGCAGGCTTATTGACTTAAGAGTTTTTCAGTAAAATAGTCTTGTAGGCTGTAGTATGGTTTCTCCCTCAACAAGTTTTTCAGGGCTGTTCGAAAGGCCGTTTCCCCTTGGTTTTTGATTGACGTAGGCAGGTGGTTGTAAATCTTCAGGACAAGCGTTGGGAAAGAGTTTTTGGTTTTAGACAGCCGGCAGAACGGCATGTCCAGGTCGGAGCGATGTCTTGTACCATGGCTATGAACAGTATTTCTTGTAGGGAATTTATTTAGGTTTGCCTTCACATGGTCGGCTGACAAAAAAATGCAATGACTGACAATAGTTAAAATACCGGTGCTGACAAACAGAGGTTTGCAATGGTCATTTCTTTTACTAGAAGTTAAAATACGTACTGGTTTCTTCTGCAATTTGAGAATTTCAAGACATGATGGTGCATGGCCCCAGAGAAGGAGACCATAGCTTAAAATACTATGGAACAGAGCATGGTACACTATAATCAAATAAGGTTTACTGACAAGCCTAGTCAACTTCCGAAGTAGATGGACCACCCTGGACAGTCTTTTTCCAACTGATTGGATGTGTTTATCCCAAGCAAGTTTTGGATCAATTGCAAAACCAAGAAGATTTACGTTTGGTACATCTTGTACGTGGTGACTGAGAGTACAAGTAAGTCTCTGCGTCTTGTCTTCATTCAGTTTTAATTTGTTGGACGCAAACCAGTGTTTCGCTTCTTCAAATTGGATGTCAGCTGTCTCAAGTGCAAGAGTAGGATTTGCACCAGAAGAGAAAATGGTAGTGTCATCCGCAAATCTAAGGGCCATACCATTTAATTCGAGGTCATTTATGGCGACAAGGAACAGTACATGCCCCATAATCGAGCCTTGGGGAACTCCATGGGCTACAGTCATGGCCTGGGATTTTGCACCACTCAAAGAGACCACTTGCCTTCTATTACCAAGATAGGATTTGAATGTGTGTAGGGCGACACCACCCACACCATAACGTTCGAGTTTTTCAATTAGGATTTTGTGGGAGATGCAATCGAATGCTTTGCTCAGGTCGCAAAGTGTCAATGCCAACGTGTCCGAAGATTCAAAAGCATCCTGCACTCTGGTTACAAGTTCGGCCAACGCAGTCACAGTAGATCTATTACGCCTGAATCCATGTTGAAGATCGGAAAAAAGGTTGTTTGATTCAAAAAAAATTACTAGTTGATTCTTGATGATGGTTTCTATTACTTTACTAACCACAGGAATTACAGAAATAGGCCTATAGCTGTTTAGGTTTGAAGGATCGCCCTTTTTGTAGATGGGGACAGTTCGTGCAACTTTCAAAAGATCGGGAAAAATTCCAATGCTCAGACAGCCATATATAATCATGGATAGAGGTTGAGCAATTACATCCACTATGGCCTTGAGGACAACAGTTGACATGCCGTAGATATCCGGGCTACGTGAGGATTTAAACCCCGACACGATCTTTACTATCTCCAAAGGAGTTACTCTCTGCCATCGTACAAGGTTGACATGACATTTTCAGCAGGATCGTCAGCCACTGATGGAATCTCCGAAACCAGTTTCTCAACGTTACCCAACAGAAATTTGTTGAAATCGTCTGGGCTAGCTTTACATAGGGCTGTATTTTGCTTTGAGAGGCTTCTATTACTATTAACTAACGACCAAGCCGCCTTACATGGATTTAGTGCACCTCCAATCTTACTTATATTATCGAGTTTCTTAGCATCATCGACCTTAACCTTATACGTATTCTTTGTTTTGAAGTACAAGCGTCTAAGACGTTCTTTAGTTTCCTGACATGTAGTCGACACATACCTATCTCTAATGGCTAAAACTAAAGCCTTAAATCTAGACAGCTCAGGAGTATACCACGTGTTAGCCTTTACTTTCGGTTCCACATACTTAGAATTAGGCTTAGTACTACGGCCCTTTGCCTTAATATTTTCAGGAAAGTAGATGTTAAATAAGTAATTTATTTCATTAAAAAATGTTTCTGGGGCTAACTCAGGACTTAAGCCCATTAATAAGACAGTACAGTTTTACTAGAGACAAAGCATGTCTGAAATGTGGAAGAATATCTTCTTTAATATTTCTAAAACTTCTACTATATTCTGAGTGCCAACTAGGAAAATCTGAAGTGGTACTCACCGAGGCGATGTTTGTCCTTATAGTCACCACTTTGTGATCAGCATCTATAGTCCTCGCCACCCTAAGTTGAGGCAGCCAAAGGCCGCACTAGATATACGCCGTGCGGCCTTGGGCTGCCTCAACTTAGGGTGGCGAGGACTATAGAGGTTCGGTCACGTCCACCTCATAGGCCCAGGTGTCCAGGTTTGTAGCCACTGTGTCGAGGCAACGATCTCCACGGTTTGGAGCAAAATTTGCAATAAAAAGGCCATGAGCCCTCAGAAGGTTGGTGAAAGTCCTTGTATGTAGCTCGTCATGGTTTAGAGCAATGTTAAAGTCGCCACCCAGTAGGATCGTCTTACGAAGAGATGAAAGTCGAGTCAGGCAGGCGTCAAGACGCTCGAAGAAATTTTCAATGGAACCGTCAGGAGAACGGTAGATGCTTAATATAATAATGGATGTCCCAACTAGTTCAAGTCCTGTGACTTCCATATCAAACTCAGCACAGAGATCATCAAATTTAATGCACTTAGTTTCGAAGTTTTTGTCTGCGTATATTGCCACACCGCCTCCATTGTGATGAAGCCTACAGTAGGCAGAAGATAGTATTAAGTCCTCAACTCCAGTTCCTCCACCTTTAGCCAATGTTCGCAAATACAGAACACATTTACTTTAGCATCAGAACAAAAAAGCGAAGCCAGATTAAACTTAGTCCTAAGGCATTGCACATTTAAAAAAGATATATTACACAAATTGTTATTTACATGAGTGGATGAGACACTTTGCACCACACTTAATTGTTTGATGTTTGGCCTAGGGCTTCTGAGCTCAGAACCCCCCCCCCCCCCCTGCACTGATTGAGATTGAGTCGAGTTTTTCTCCGAGGCTTTCCTGAATAAAAAACGCTTTACTGTTACGTTTTTAGGCCAGATAGAACTATTTAGGAAGGTGTCCTTACCAGCAAAGTCTATACCGATCTTGAAACTGTCATTAGTACCCTTTGTTTCCAACTTTTCCACGATGCAGTCTATGTTAGGAAACTGTTCAGACACAAACTGTTTAACCGAATCTTCAGTTGTCCCTTTCTTAACCTTGCCCAGGTGAAACCAAGCCTTTTTAGTTCCTGATAGAAAGTTACTAGCCTTTCCAGAACCCACAATAACGTTTTTATGAGCACTACTAGAGTTTGTTACACTGACGAACTTCGTCTTCACTTTAGCAAGATGGCGTACCTTAGCTTCATTATTCATTTGATGAGAAGTTTGGGCCTTAGTGGCGGAAGTAACAGGTGCGGCAACCTTCTGCAGTGCAAGAGAGTAGTTTCTATGTTTTTTATTTTGACGATTTACCAACGACCAGCAGTTTTCATTCAAATTATCCACATTTTTAGAAACTTGAGTTAGTGAAGGCATAATATTCTCAGTTTGATGGCTCCCATCAATTTCTGATCCACATTTTGCAGCGTAATGTCGTAGTTCACTAAGATCATTCAGATCCGTCACGTTGTCGTCCTGGGAGAGCAAGTGCGCGTCTTCACTACCAATTTCGACGTCATGAGTGACGTCATTGTCAACATCAGCTTTATTAACCTCGTTAGTGTGGTGATGTGAACATTATCACCTGATAATATTTATTATTTGATTTGTTTGTAAATATTGTATTTGTTCTTAACTAAAACATGGTTGTAATTTTGAATGAATAAAAGCCATACTTTTGGTTTACTAAGTCTTTCTTACAACAATTTTATTCATTCATTGATAAACTCAGTTAGTGCTACATTACAATGGAGAAATTCCTTAGACCAGACAAATTGCAAATTGACCCGGAATCTCCAACTGCCTCAGATGAATGGACGCACTGGTTACAAACATTCGAAGACTTTCTAACCATGACAGAATTCGTTGAAGACAAGGACAAACTGAAACTACTAACTAATCGATTATCTTTTACTACTTATAAATTTATCAAGGAATCTGAAACTTACCAAGACGCTTTGAGAGTTCTTAACTCAATTTACATCAAACAAAAGAATGAAATATTCTCAAGATATTTAGTAATGACTAGAAAACAGCAACAAGGTGAGACTATTGACAAATATGTGTCGGAACTGAAACTTTTGAGCCAAGATTGCGTTTTTGAAGCTATTAATGCGATTCAATACAGGGATCATTACATTCGTGATGCTTTTATCAATGGCTTAGCCTCGTCATACATACGACAGAGACTATTTCTTGAAATGGCTCAAGCTCAAGTCGAGAGCTATCCAAAATCTATGTACGGAATGCAAACTTGTGCAACGAATGAATTGGCAAAGCAAGCTTGTCAGTACGAATTCCCACTACAACAAAAGGAAGAAGCGACTGTTTCCGCTATTAAAAATGTTGATGGCAAGTGTTATTTTTGTGGGCATGATAGACACTCTAGAGATCGCTGTCCAGCCAGAGAAGCAACTTGTGGGAAATGTAACAAGACAGGGCATTATGCGAGAGTCTGTAAAAGTAATCCAACTCAACATTTTAAAGTAAAACAGAAAACGTCTAGTACATCAGCTGCACTAATAGCAACTACACATAATACATCTGTATTGAAGGACTCTTCAGTTGAAGCTAAAGTGAATGGCCTGAAAGCAAATTGCTTAATAGACACCGGGAGTACATCAAGCTTTGTAAACTTGAAGTTTGTTCAGTTAAACAAAATTAAAATGTATAATGAAAGTGGACAAGTATCACTAGCTGCTTCTAATATGAAATCAAACGTCCACAGGTTTGTTAAAATCAACCTAAATATGTTGAATCACAATTACAACAATTTTAAGTTGACTGTTCTTGAAGATCTTTGTACTGACGTGCTTATCGGACATGATATCATGAAACTCCACTCAAATATACAGGTTTGGTTTGGAGGTAAGAAACCTCCTCTGTTGGTGTGCTCCTGTGCCAAAGTTGAACCACCCAAACTATTCTGCAATTTAACTCCAGATTGTAAGCCAATAGCCACAAAACCACGACGTTACTCAGATGAAGATATGCAATTTATAAAACAAGAAATGGAAAGACTACAGACTGAGGAGATCATTGAACCTAGTTCGTCACCTTGGCGTGCACAAGTGTTGGTTGTTACAAACGACAAAGGGAAGAAGCGACTGTGTGTGGACTATTCGCAAACGATAAACAAATTTACTCTGTTAGACGCCTATCCCTTACCAAACATAGATGATCTAGTATCCACTGTAGCGACGAACAAGGTTTTTAGTGCCATTGATCTAAAGCAAGCATACTATCAAATACCAATTTCTGACGAAGAGAAGAAGTACACTGATTTTGAGGCTGCTGGTCGTCTTTTTCAATTCAGAAGAATCCCATTTGGCGTAACCAATGGGGTGGCATGTTTTCAAAATACCATGGACCAAATCATTAGAAAAGAAAAACTGAATGGAGTGTATGCCTATCTGGATGATTTGACCGTATGTGGAAAGGATCAAAAGGATCATGATGAGAATCTAAGAACATTTTTAGATGCTGTAACTAAGTATGGACTTGTAATCAACAACGAAAAGAGCAAGTTCAACCAGTCTTCAATAACCTTGTTGGGACATTTAGTTTCCCATAACTCTATTCGACCTGATCCAGATCGGCTAGAATCTCTACTGTCACTTCCTGTGCCCAAAGACCAAGTTTCACTAAAGCGACTCCTAGGATTTTTCGCTCACTATTCAAAATGGATACATCGGTTTTCTGATAAAATAAAAAACCTGACACAAGTCAATTCTTTTCCTTTGTCACAGGAAGCGGTTGCAGATTTTGAAGCCCTCAAACTTGACATTGCAAACTCAGTAATTACTCCTAGGAATGGGCAAGAGCCACTGGTAGTGGAGACTGACGCATCTGACATAGCCGTGGCAGCAACTTTGAGTCAAGATAATCGACCAATTGCTTTTTTCTCACGGACTCTAAACAAATCTGAGAAGCTGTATTCAGCTGTTGAAAAAGAAGCCGTTGCCATTGTCGAAGCCCTTCGAAAATGGAAATCATTTCTTATCGGAAGAGACTTCAGATTATACACGGATCAGCAAGCTTTATCATTTATCTTTGACAAGAGGTATACGAGCAAAATCAAGAACGATAAAGTTATCAGATGGCGACTAGAGCTAACACCTTATCAATATGAAATAGTGTACCGACCTGGTAGGGAGAATGTAAAAGCAGATACGCTCTCTCGGGCATATGCGGTTCGCTGGGACAATGCTAAGTTGTTTGAATTACACAAATCTCTCTGCCATCCGGGAGTCACTCGAATGTTTCATTGGATTAAAACTAAAAATCTAAACTACACTCTGGATGATGTAAAAAGGATGACGTCAGCTTGTCAAACATGTGCAGAAGTGAAGCCAAGATTTCACCAATTCCAAGGCAAATTGATAAAGGCAACCACTCCCTTCGAACGTCTAAATTTTGACTTTAAGGACCCTCTTCCATCAACAACCAGAAACCGTTACCTTTTAACCATGGTGGACGAGTATTCTCGTTTTGTATTTGCTTACCCCTGTAAGGACATTAGTTCAGCAACAGTTATCAGATGTTTTCCAGATCTATTTTTTATGTTTGGAGCCCCGTCCTTTGTACATTCAGATAGAGGTTCATCTTTCATGTCGCGAGAGCTGACGGACTTTCTTCACAAGTACGGAGTAGCTACAAGTCATACGACACCTTATAACCCTAGAGGGAACTCTCAGATTGAACGCTTCAATGGAACAATATGGCGAACCATCCTACTAGCTTTGAAAAACCACAACCTGCCAGTTGCTGCGTGGGAAGAAGTATTACAGGAGGCACTTCACTCAGTCAGATCTCTTTTATGCACTGCGACAAACTGCACACCGCACGAAAGATTCTTTATACATAGCAGAAGATCTACCAATGGAGACTCCTTACCATCTTGGCTATCCGCTCCTGGTCCTGTCCTGCTTAGAAAGTTTGTAAGATCTAATAAATATGATGACCTTGTGGAGCCAGTTCAACTTTTGGAATCAAATCCACAGTTCGCTCTCGTCAGAAGAAGAGATGGGTCAGAATCACAAGTATCCCTGAGACATCTTGCACCCGCTGGCCTACCTCCTGGTGATCTACCTCATGATGACAACACTACTGAGAGAGAGATTGTTGAAAATATAAATTCAGACATTTACCACAATGAAGTTCAAAATGAAACTCAACAAACGGTATCTCAGACCTCAACTTCAGAGACGGCTGTGGGGGAATTACGTCCAAAGAGGAATGTCAAGCCTCCGTCATATCTAAAGGATTACATATGCTATACCTACCTTGAAAACTAGTGGGGGAGAATGTGGTGATGTGAACATTATCACCTGATAATATTTATTATTTGATTTGTTTGTAAATATTGTATATGTTCTTAACTAAAACATGGTTGTAATTTTGAATGAATAAAAGCCATACTTTTGGTTTACTAAGTCTTTCTTACAACAGTTAGTCAAAGGGTTTTTAAAATTAGAATTTTACGCAGAGGGATTATCATTACACTTTAGCACTCCCATCTAACAGCTGCCAGGTAAGATCGCTTCTTTTGCATCACCAATGGGTAGTCACGGTGTACAGTGTCGTGGCCTTGTGTATGCACGCGTATTTTGTTGACTTTGATAATTGAAAAAGATTGCTTCATTTGAAAGATGAAGTGAAAGTTGAAAGTGATGCAAGGTCAGCGGCCGGCGGGGCATGAGGCCCTTCCCACTTGCCTCTGAGCGGCAGAGTTTGGTTTGGCCGGCCTAACCAAACGGTGTGGCGGACAACTGGAGACAACTTCACTCGTATTTACGCCTGCAAAATGTAGGATACTTTACCAAAGCACTGCCGTATTGCGGGCTGACTAGAGAACGTTTTCTCCTTCACCCATAGTAGTAATTGTACAAAATACACTTGCTTGGCTACGGAAAATAATTATTCAATTTTCATATCTATTCCGTATTACAACTATCAGCAAAGATATTTTATATTACTTCTTTGCGACACTCAAAAATTAATTCTACTTTCGGGGGAAAAACTACAAGAATAGTCCATTTTTACATATTTCATACAATAACTTGCTTATTATTAGGGATACGATCTCGGACCTAATATACATTATTGTAGTCCATATTTTTAGGATTACAACGACGTTTTAACCGATGTTCTATCTTTTACCGTTTTCTAAATATCAGCGTTTTAATGCATAGCGCACTCCGCCATGTTTACCCCCTCCCATCAACCTTATCGACCACTTTTGAAATAGGCGACATACGTAATTTTCATCACCACAGCCCATATTACAATAATCAGCAATAGCATTGCGTACTACTTTCATGCATGCTCAAACCCCCTCAGCTCCTGGACTAATATAATGAAGAACGCCTTTAAAGATTCCTATAAACGATGAACGAGTATCAATACAAAGCAAATGCAAGATAATAAGTTTCTAGCCTAGTGGACTATTTTTAGGACTCGTACACCCCTTAGCCGCCTTCCTAAGATAAACAAATTTATGACGTATGTGTATGTGAGTGAGTGTGTGTATAATTGCAATAATATACTATATTATAATTGGGTAAAATAAAATGTGTAAAAACACCAGTTCATTTAATTTAAAAAACAAACCCTAACTATTTGGCTCACAATGGCATGACATGCCAAGCACGTTATCGGCACTTGTACTTGGGTACCGTCTCCATTAATCGAGAACAGTTGATGGGAGACAAATGCCCTCAAACACCCACTACACAACATTGGGTGCCCACAGGGTGTGCGCAGGCTTCATAACACCGCAGAAGCGACACGTTGCCCTGACTTCCTCTGCTGGTTCACACGCCTCAAGTTGAAGGTTCAAGCATCATTGCAACTCTTCTTCTTGAAGCATCACTTCTGCTAAAGGCATCACACCCTCTCCATGTGTTGTAGGGACCCACTGGTAATCCGAATATAGTCTGTGGTCATCAGGTTCGTTGACTTCTATTTATGTAACAAATTAAATTACATTATTAAAATTAAAATGTAATATTATAAAATAACAGACTGATAAGTAGTTAATGAATAAAAGTATATGAATAAAAAAAGTATGTGCCAGTTTTAATACCATCCATTCGTTTTAGCCTACCATTAATTTGGGACTCATTATTTCAATATTGACAATTTTTTGTGTTGTCAATAGGCAACACTAAATAAAGTGCTTATACCACCATTGGTTACTTAATAAAGTAAAAACTAAAATGTCAAACAAAATAAGAGATGTCTTGATGACTCTAATATAAGCAACCCGTTTAGTTCAAAGACCTAGTTATTTCTAATATTTGAGACAAAAACAGATATGTCGTGTAGGGCTTTGTTGGTGGTGATTCCAAATACTGTATTTGCAAACACAACAAATTACGGTTCGATGACCAGAGGGTCCAGCATTGCAAAAACAATTTAACGGAACAAGAGAATCAAGAGTTTGAGTTCCTTGAAACCTAAAAAAAGAATGTTGTGTTGGGGCGCCAGCTTTCTCTAGGCGGCAGGTAGCTACAGTCCCGACAAGGGTCGCTGCAGTTGTAGCTAAATAATATCGACGGTGGAGGATAGAAATTGTCAAAATAAAAATACGGAAAGTAAATAAAAGAAACGTCTTATAACACTTAAAACATATATTTACGCTTATACTGTTACTCACAAGACGGTAAATATACAAAAACGATGGTAAGTGACTATTGGACAGACACCATAGACGTGACTTAAAATAAAAATGAATTAGTTTAATGTCCTAATTTAGATCTTAAGTTTTACGAAAAAAACCTTATATCAGGTAATTGTGCTTTATGGACAGGCTTCACGTTTAAGTCCCTACCTACCATGTGCGACTCTTGGTTTTTATAATTCAAACAATAAACAGTACCTTATAATATTGTTAGTAAATATTCCAAGCCCCAATGGGAATTATTGCTGGCTTACACGTGGTGTATTGCAACACTTTATTGTTTATAGTTTATATTTATAAAAACCATAATCAAATTCTAACTTTACAATATTTATTTACCACCGTAGTTGTACTACTTGTATTACTGTGTAGAGAAAAAAGCATTTAACCTATCATGGTTTTTATCTGAGAACTGATCAAATAAGTAATGGTAATTTTATGGCACTTTTTACGACATGAAATATCTCAAACTATTTGCAGACTTCAAGTAACCATTTACTTGGTTTAATAATGGCTAATGACGGCTGTTTTGAACTTATAAATAATACCTTTGACCCAATAGTCAATGATAATACTGAATCGAATAAAATCGTGCAATAAGTAAAATCGTGCATTTGGGGGGGGGGGAGATATGAAAAGAAATAACGTATACCATTTATGACATGAAGCGGTGCTAGTTCTACGTCTTATTCCATGTCTTCAGGACTTCCTAAGGTATCTTCGTTTGGCGTCCCTCTTGGGCATATTTTATTGCTGGCAAAGACCAAAAATTGTCCAAGTGACACTTCCCTACGGACGAGTTTTTCCTGCATAGATGATATGTTTTTGTCCTGCAGAATCCACTTGTTTAGTTTTTTTTTTCTGGACGATGGTGCTCCTTGTTTAAAATTTATATAGTTCTTTGTTTCTCTAATTGAGATAGCCAGAATTCCATCTGAAAAGAGCATCACAATTGGAACTGTCTCATTTTATTCTTTTGTGTTTTAACAATTGCTTACTCATTGTTTACTACAATGTAGTTATTAAGCTAAAATCTCTTTAGTTAATTGCAGTCAACGAATTTTGTGTTTGGTTGGTATCTTTTTTAGAGAATTTCCCATATAGGGATTTCCCGTCTGAATTACCGTAGCGAGTGAAATAGACAAATCAGTAGTTGGGCATTGGGGAATCCCTCATTAAACCTGCTCTTTCATCAGAGTCTTTGTCAGCCATGACAGTGTTAGGCCATGCAGAATTGTTGTCTTTGAAAATTGCTACCTTTTCCTTTATGGTGTTTCTGTCTTCTGATGCTGCCAAAAAAATCGACTATTTCTGTTTCACCGTTGCTTTCTTCTATACAAAAAATGTAAAGTGGTATTCTTAAATTTGATAGAATCTACAAACAGCATTTCTGGATAGGCATGAAACAGCCTTTTCATTTCTGTGTCTTGATAAAAAAGGCCTTTTAATATATTGTTTTCGTCAGTAACTAACTGTACAGTGGCATCTTCTCTGTTCCATCGTGCTGTCATGCCACAAGCTTCCCTGCCTCCCATGTTAGCCGACAGTCCTTCACATCTAGATGGTCAAAAGACAGGGGCATTCTGAAGTTGTTACCAGCCACTCTCTCGATTTCTGTTCTAACAGCTGCTGGTAAGATCGCTTCTTTTGCATCTCCAATGGGTAGTCACGGTGTACAGTGTCGTGGCCTTGTGTATGCACGCGTATTTTGTTGACTTTGATAATTGAAAAAGATTGCTTCATTTGAAAGATGAAGTGTAAGTTGAAAGTGATGCAAGGTCTGCGACCGGCGGGGCATGAGACCCTTCCCACTTGCCTCTGAGCGGCAGAGTTTGGTTTGGCCGGCCTAACCAAACGGTGTGGCGGACAACTGGAGACAACTTCACTCGTATTTACGCCTGCAAAATGTAGGATACTTTACCAAAGCACTGCCGTATTGCGGGCTGACTAGAGAACGTTTTCTCCTTCACCCATAGTAGTAATTGTACAAAATACACTTGCTTGGCTACGGAAAATAATTATTCAATTTTCATATCTATTCCGTATTACAACTATCAGCAAAGATATTTGATATTACTTCTTTGCGACACTCACAAACTAATTCTACTTTCGGGGAAAAAAACTACACGAATAGTCCATTTTTACATATTTCATACAATAACTTGCTTATTATTATAGATACGACCTCGGACCTAATATACATTATTGTAGTCCATATTTTTAGGATTACAACGACGTTTTAACCGATGTTCTATCTTTAACCGTTTTCTAAATATCAGCGTTTTAATGCATAGCGCACGCCGCCATGTTTACCCCCTCCCATCAACCTTATCGACCACTTTTGAAATAGGCGACATACGTAATTTTCATCACCACAGCCCATATTACAATAATCAGCAATAACATTGCGTACTACTTTCATGCATGCTCAAACCCCCTCAGCTCCTGGACTAATATAATGAAGAACGCCTTTAAAGATTCCTATAAACGATGAACGAGTATCAATACAAAGCAAATGCAAGATAATAAGTTTCTAGCCTAGTGGACTATTTTTAGGACTCGTACACCCCTTAGCCGCCTTCCTAAGATAAACAAATTTATGACGTATGTGCATGTGAGTGAGTGTGTGTATAATTGCAATAATCTACTATATTATAATTGGGTAAAATAAAATGTGTAAAAACACCAATTCATTTAATTTAAAAAACAAACCCTAACTATTTGGCTCACAATGGCATGACATGCCAAGCACGTTATCGGTACTTGTACTTGGGTACCGTCTCCATTAATCGAGAATAGTTGATGGGAGACAAATGCCCTCAAACACCCACTACACAACATTGGGTGCCCACAGGGAGTGCGTAGGCTTCATAACACCGCAGAAGCAACACGTTGCCCTGTCTTCCTCTGCTGGTTCATACGCCTCAAGCAGGAAACCCACTAGTCCGACGCTCTCCGACACGACACCTTCCGTCAACCCTCCAACACCTTCCGACGCCTTTCCGCAATTTTAAGGCATTAACCCATTGGTCCGACGGGCTCCGACAGTAGGCCTCCGACGAGAAATACACCATCACTCCAACAGTGCCAGTTGCGATGGAAAGTTCTTCGGACGAAGAGTTGTTTGTGATAGCCGCATTGTGTGCTGAAGAGGAAAGACCAAAACGAAGAAAACATAGGTTCTGGGTACACAACATATTTAAAATACGCAATAAGATTGGGAGATGGACCATTATGAAACGCAGTTTGTCACAGGACATGGACAATTTCAACTAGAATTTGTGAAGATTTCACATGGTTGAAGAGGAAGTATGTAGATGTGGAGAAATAACCACGAGTCACGTATTTATAAATTTTTCACTTCAGGAGACAAATAGGAGAGAACAGGAATAAGTCTTTATGAGAAAATAAAACATGATGAGTGACAAGGAAACGATTGAGACATTTAGAAAAGTAGCTAGGGAAATAGGAAAAACCAGGGATACATACAGGAGTTAAAATTTAAAAAAATAAACAAACAAAAAATAAGAAAGAAAAGGAATGAAAACTTGCCCATGAAGGGAAGTGGAAAGGTTAGAGCGAATCTCAATGATCCCTATCGCTCAGGGCGGTATGGGTAAGGGGGTCGTGCTGTTAGGCTTTGGACACATAATGTGTCTATGATTAAGGCTATTTGTACGTAGAAAACACTATTTACATTAAATGTTGATTATATCGATCTGTCATGTACATCTTGAGTATTTTCATAATCTTTGAGTCGAATATTTTTAAGTTATCAGAAATTATGACTGTTATTCGTTTTAAAATAATGCCTGTAATACTTAGCAATTGCTCGAATTCGAGCAACAAGTACACTAGTTAACAAATTATTTTTCAGCTTTAAGTTTTAATTTTCACTTAATAAAAAACCATAGGAGGTGTTAAATTTCAAACAGCCCACTAACACAGCAAATACATTTTTAAAGATTCATTTATTTAAATAAAGTGATGTAAAATACGGTAATAATCTTAACAAACATAAAAAAATAAGTAAACTAATAACTAATAAAATTAAAATAAGTTAAATAACTAACATATTAGAACACTTATTACTGGAGCTTTGCTCGTTTAGTAGGGGATGAGTGAATTAAGACTGAGTCTTCATTGTCCACCTTAAGAATAGGAGATAGTAGATCGGTGTCGTCTTCGTCGTCGACGTT